GTAATAGTTTCTAACTTGTCAGAAAGAGTCACACAAAAATTATGTTATTCATTGAAAACCCTTCTGATTATTTCAACCATGACTATCATTTGATTTACGTGTTTGTTTTCAGGTTTTGACAATGACGGCTAGAGAGTTTGTAAGCTGCAACATTTTAAGTAAATTTTATTGTTAATGAATACACAGAAATTGAAAGTAAACTCATGGTTTCAACCTTTATACCAAACCTCGAGTAAGCAATAAAATGATCATAAATTCATTAAACAATAAACATGTACTTAGGAAAAAACAAAGGGGAATAATGAAGAGCAAAGAGGCACCCATATTAACTTTTAGAAAGTTTTTCTGCATTTATTTAAGTATTATATTTATTTAATTAGAGACGAGGTTTTGTCATGCTGCCCAAGCTGCTCTTGAACTCCAGGGCTCACTCCGTCCACCTGCCTCAGCCTTACTAAGTGTTAAGATTACAGATGTGAGCCACTGTGCTGGCCAAATTAACTTTTAAAGACTAGCCTAGTTCAAATAATTTCCTGTTCCCTTCTTTTTCCAAAATATGCTTTTCTGTATTACAATTCTAGAAGACTTAACATGGTTTTTAGGGATGCCAACTCCTATGTTTTTAGATTATTCTGAAATTGGAGGGTTATATTATTTATATTTTGTCTTCCTAAATTATAATTTTACCATGTGCATAACATGTTGATTTACAGTATATGTCACTTTTCTTCAGAAAGACATAAAGGAGAGATGAATCAAGGAATCTTATCCAAATGCTTTTCAAAATTAGTTCCATGCATGAGATAAAAATTTTTAATGTCTAATTGAAATATTTCTATTTTCATTATTAAGTAGAAATTGATATTAAGAATGAAATTTAGCTATATATTGAAAGGCAGAAAGTTATAGTCAAAGAACACATCTAAATTAACAAATATTTGCTTTGTGGTTTAAACATTGCAATTAAGACACTATTGTCACTTTGAAGCTACAGATTTTAAGTCATGCATTGAAATAAGGCAAACAATTATGTCATACAATTGGAACTAAAACTTGGCCATCTTGACAACATATTTTGATATTCCATAGATTATTTCTCTTATATATGTGATATGGTGCTAAAATCTTTACACTATTAATGGCTAGTTAACTCAATCAAATAAACCAGTTGTTTTAGTATTTTAAGGTAGAAGTATTTTATATGCTGGAATAATGGAGAACTAAGCAAGAATTCTCTTTGTCTCTTCATCTTCTTTTTGCATGTAAAGTTGTGTCTACATTTAGCATATCCAACCTTTTGGCATCCAGTCAACTGTGTGGAGAAATACATTGACTTCAAATGAAGCACAGAGAAGTAGAACAGGAACTTCATATTAGGGATATAAATGCTGATGAGACCCTTGCACATGCTTTCTTGACTTTGAAATTAATATATATACTCAGCAGTACCCTGTCTTTCTATTTCTTAAATTAGCTCAAGAGAGCAGCATGGTTCCCAGCGATGGTGAAACATTTCCACCAAGAATCCTTAGTGAAATTGTAAAGTAATTGGAAGAAAAAACAGGTACCTATGGCATATTTTCCCTGTAACACTGAAATTTTTTTCTGTTTCTGTTTCAGATTTCATATTCATTCTAATTTTACATTTTTAGTATGTATTTCTTTCAAACTTTACAGTAAAATTGTCTCCACAGGACTATATTAACATTTATCTCAGTTTCTAAACCCTCGTACTTCAATTTGAAGATTAAGAACAGAGACTGATGGAGAGTGTAGTTCTGGCTTCAACAGTGACTGGGATCAGTAGTACTGAGCAAAATTGCCTTATATCCTTAGGCTCCATTTCATTGCTTGTAAATAAGGGTTTTGAGAAGGTTCTCCCACAAAACTGTTTCATGAAGCTGTTAAAGTACAAGGTTTATATTGACTCATTGCATTAAAAAAAATTGAAACACTCTTTTATGCCAAAATCTTAGCCCCAATCATTAATGAAATTAGCCTCATGGTTTTTTTGAATGACATTTACAATTCCCAAACCAACGAGAGGGAGCCCTCTTGTGGTTTAGGTGTAGAGTGGTTTATGTTCTATCTACATTTATAAGATACAAGAATGTATAATCTTTGAAAAATGTAACAACCTTAGATACCTTCTGAATATGATCTAAAATTTATAGGAAATTAAAAAATTACAATTTTGGATATGTATAATTGTTCTTTAAACAATTCAGGGGAGTTTTTGAAACTAAAAGTGTGCAGCATATACCATGTTGCTGTCTGTAATTATATTCTTATTTAGCAAAAATCTTTCAGTATATACTTGGTTAGTAGTTGTAATGATCAGTAAAGATATCAAAGTGGTTCAAGTCATCTCACTTATGAAGTAGAGGACAAAATAATGACATTAAAATAGATAACTGCATATTAAATATCTTTTACACTCTTTAATTGTATTTCTGAGTGATAAGCATCAAACATTTTGATCACTTAGGGATTTACCATGCTTATAACAGCAGGTGAACTTGCTATATTTTGTTGCTTAAGAATACAATATATAACATATATTAAAAGGTAAGCACTTTGGGAAGCTGAGGAGGGTGGATCACAAGGTCAAGAGATCAAGACCATCCTGGCCAACATGGTGAAACTCCATCTCTACTAAAAATACAAAAATTAGCTGGGCATGGTGGCACGTGCCTGTAGTCCCAGCTACTCTGGAGGCTGAGGCAGGAGAATCACTTGAACCCAGGAGGTGAAGGTTGCAGTGAGCTGAGATCCTGCCACTGCACTGTAGCCTGGTGACAAAGTGAGACTTCGTCTCAAAAAAAAAAAAAAAAAAAAAGTAAACATGTTTAGCACAAGTAATACCAATGAGACAGTTAATAAAATATAAATATGCTAACAATATTAATTACAGTAATGTGCTGCATAATGACATTTCAGTCAACCATGGACCCCATATACAGCAGTGGTCCCTTAAGATTATAATGGAGCTAAAAAGTTCCTATTGCTTAGTATTTATTAGACTTTTAATAATTATTTTAGAGTGTATTCTCCTTATATAAAAAAAGTTAACTGGAAAACACACTCAGGCAGGTGCTTCAGGATTTATTCCAGAAGAAGTTGTTTTTATCACAAGAGATGACAGCTCTGTGTGTGTTGTTGCCCCTGAATATCTTCCAGTAGGACAAGATGTGGAGGAAGAAGACAGTGACATTGATGATCCTGACCTGTGTAGGCTGAGGCTAATGTGTGTGTCTGTGTCTTAGTTCTTTTATTTATTTATTTATTTTTGAGATGGAGTCTCGCTCTGTCGCCCAGGCTGGGGTGCAGTGGCCGGATCTCAGCTCACTGCAAGCTCCGCCTCCCGGGTTCACGCCATTCTCCTGCCTCAGCCTCCCGAGTAGCTGGGACTACAGGCGCCCGCCACCTCGCCCAGCTAGTTTTTTGTATTTTTTAGTAGAGACGGGGTTTCACCGTGTTAGCCAGGATGGTCTCGATCTCCTGACCTCGTGATCCGCCCGTCTCGGCCTCCCAAAGTGCTGGGATTACAGGCTTGAGCCACCGCGCCCGGCAGTGTCTTAGTTCTTAACAAATCGTTTAACAAGTAAAAGAATAAATAAAATAAAAATTTTAAACAGACAAAAGCTTACACAATAAAGATATAAAGGAAGAAATTATTTTTGTACCATTGTACAATATGTTTGTGTTTTAAGCTAAGTGTTACTACAAAAAAATCTTAAAACATTAAAAAATTAAGTAAAAAATTTTATGAAGCTAAGGTTAATTTATTATTGAAGAAATTTCAAAAATTAAACTTAGTGTAGCCTAAGTGTACAGCCTTTAAAAAGTCTACAGTAGTGTGGCTGGGCACTGAGTTTCATGCCTATAATCCTAGCACGTTGGGAGACCTCAGGATTACCTGAGGTCAGGAGTTCAAGACCAGCCAGGCTAACGTGGTGAAACCTTGTCTCTACTAAAAAATACAAAAATTAGCCGGGCATGGTCACGAGCGCCTGTAATCTCAGCTACTCAGGAGGCTGAGGCATGGAGAATTGCTTGAACCCAGGAAGCAGAGGTTGCAGTGGTCTGAGATCATGCCACTGCACTCTAACCCGGGCTACAAAGGGAGACTCCATCTCAGACAAAAAAAAAAAAAAAAAAGGTCTACAGTAGGGTCATAATATCCTAGGACTTCACATTCACTCACCACATACCCAGGGCAACTTCCAGTCCGCAGGTTCCTTTCAAGTTAAATGCCCTGTATAGGTGTAGTACATTTTACCTTTTATTCCATATTTTTATTGTATCTTTTCTATGCTTATATATGTTTAGAAACACAACTACTTACCATTGTATTACAGTTGTCTGCAGTATTCAGTATAGTAACATGCTGTACAGGTTTGCAGCCTAGAAGCAACAGACTATTCCATGTAGTCTAGCCTAGATGTAGTGGTCTAACCCATGTAGGTATATAGAAGTACACCCTGTGGTGTTTGCATAATGACAAATCATCTAATGACACATTTCTTAGAACATATTCCCGTAGTTAAGCAACTCATGACTTATACTAACACATTAATATTACTTTTTAAAGTTTCTTTTTAGAAATGAAGTTACATTATCCATTAGGTGAATAAGTTATATGAACATAATTACCCTAGTTGTATTTTTGATGACCTGAAATAACATCTTTTTTCATTAACCCCAGCATTTTCATTAGTTAATGTATAACTAATTCATTAGTTAATATAAAAAAGGTATTTCAAATGTAACCAATTCACAACAGTAAATGAATTCTGATATATTTGATTTAAAGTAAATTGCAAATAACATACCATGTCCATTTGTTTCTCGTATTCTTTTTCACTCGAGAAGGAAAAAACACAACTAATCATCTAAGTTGGAAAGATATTTTAATGTACTATATGCAATGCATCAATATAAGTTCCATCACTTTAGACAAGACTGAGTCTTGCTTAGAGATTATTGATTACCCAGGAGAAGTACTAACCTAAAATGAAAATAAAGAAAAACTCTTGTCTATGACACATGGTTCCTGCAGATTTTTTCCTGTTTTGCTTTGCTCCTGAAAGTGGAGGAAGCTTTTCTGTTTGCCACCCATTGAAGTTTTCATGGCCTAATAATGTGGAGACTCAAAAAATTTGCTGACGATAAAGAGGAGAACAAAGGAAGCACCCAGAGTATCGCCAGGTCGGTTTCTAGCTTCAATTCTGGTATTTATCAAATACAATGTGATAGAGTAAAGCTGTGTTTCTTAGAAAGGATTTAATAATTTATTATAGATCTTCTTTAACTTCCAGGTAATTAAAAATAAATTTGTGCTTTTGGATTTTCTATTATCTGTCAAATGATTTGGCAATTTGAATAAATTTATTGTTTTCGATTTATAGTTCATTCTCATTTTCTTTGATTAGTCACTTAGGAAATTCAATGTTATACCTGTAAGCTTGATCTTCCACAGAATAAGTATTTCAAACAAGGTCAATCTGTAGGAAATTTTTGGGAGGGAGAAGTTATTGAAATAAGACTCTATAAACATAATTGTTTCTGTAACAGATCATTTAGAAGAGTTTCTCTTTTCCCCAGAAAGAAAAGGAACCTGACATCAAAATAGTGATTTTTAGTGGTTTAAGAACAGAGACCAGTTTGGAAGAGCAAGTGCCATTAGGTTACAGAACTGCGAGTGAATGTCATATGATTTTTAACTAGTATTCATTCATTGAAGAACAAGTGTTCAGACAATTCATTCCTCATGTCACAGAATGGACTATAGATGATGATAAGATTTTCTCCTGGGTCACGCTCTGATCATAAGCCTCTGAGCTCCCCTTTAGATTAGGCCCAACTTGGGTTCTGTTCTTGGCCTAGTTAGTTCAATTAGGCAAGAATTCTGCTGGTTCAGTTTAACGAAAATCCCTTATCCTTGATATCTAATCAAATTTCTTATCCCCCCACGTTCAGTATCTTATCACCCTGCCTGCATTCAGCAAGAATGTTGCTAAGTCAGTTTAGCCGGAATCCCTGTGAGGTTTTCTCTCTAGTAATTTTCCACCCACTGACCTTCACTTATCCCAAATCCTCACTTGTCCTAGTATTCAGAATGCAACCCAGTTATATACTGAGGTCTCTCTGTCCCCAGTGCAATAGTTCCCGAATAAAATTTGCCTTCACTGCTTTAACTTATATCCAGCTCTGATTTTCTTTCAGAGTGCCAGCTTCTGTTCACAACCCAGCTTCCAGTTAACTGTTTGCCCAAGTGAATTTTTAGATACTGTCAGAGCAGTACAATATTGGGTGAAGAGCATCAACAGAGATAACTTGGTAAGACAACACATGGGGTCAAATATACAAATATAAAGAAACATAAAAACAAACTAAATATTTATAGTGTAGTTCAGTAAATATGGCCTCATTCAATTTAGGATTCCAATGAATGTGTAATTAAAAATGGAAATTATACAAAATTACAAAGAAGGAATATATTTAGAAAATCAGTTTATCAAGACAGAAAGCAACTGTCAGCAAGAGTATATTGAAATAAACTGTGTAGAGAAAAATAAATAATGTAGTGATGCAGAAAATGATGAATATCACAAGAGTAATGAAAATATTTTAAACCATAGTAGTGCAAATTGACTTAATAAATCATACTTTACCAATAAGCTTCTCATCCTTCTCAGTGTGGTCACATTACATTTATTCCTATACCTTTTGTTTAGGGATCTATTACCCATAGATACCACTAGCACTTGTACTTACAGATGAGCTGGCCTGATTCTATGGCAGCATTTCAGCACAGAGTTTTTGCTGATGTCACGGTATGAACTGTGTAAGCTATTAATGAAGGCCAGCTCATTGAAGAAAACCATCATGCTGATTTAGCAAGGAATTTTCAATCTAAGATTTTTTCCTGAAATTTGTGCCAGTCAATATATAAAAGTGTCAAAGACTGTTACATATTAATTATAGGTACTTTAAAAATGACAGACTAATTATCACATACGAAATTGGAATACTTTCTTAAATTTCTTGGCTGGGTGTGGTGGCTCATGCCCCTAATCCCAGCACTTTGGAAGGCGGGCAGATCACAAGGTCAGGAGGCTGAGACCATCCTGGCTAACACGGTGAAACCCCATCTCTACCAAGAATACAAAAAATTAGCCAGGTGAGGTGGCACGTGCCTGTAGTCCCTGCTACTCGGGAGGCTGAGGCAGGAGAATCGCCTTGAACCCGGGAGGCAGAGCTTGCAGTGAGCTGAGATCACGCCACTGCACTCCAGCCTGGGTGACAGAGTGAGACTCCGTGTCAAAAAAAAAAAAAAAAATTCTTATTTCTTTACTAGTATTCTATCACTAACCTCCAATGTAACTCTGTGGAGGAAAAAAGAAAGATGAAATTATAGATTAAAAAAAAAGATGAGTATTCCTTTTTGAAATAGTCTGTATGGGTAAGTCAAGTGAAAGTGGTTTTTTCAATAAACAGATTTTAAGAAGTCTTTCAAACATACAAACAAAAACTACAAATACACTAATGCCAAGTCATTTTTCTAGTTAGTAACACATCTTCTCTCATTCTGTCCTTAGTAGAAAAGTTCCGTTCACCATCCTTCTCGCTGTGCTTTTCCTATAATGAAATGCATATATTAAGACTTCTTTGAATGATATATCACCGACTATGTAATCCTAGATGTAATAGTTTTCATGAGAACAAGAATGGAGTATGATTTTTGTCAGGAAGACAACATGATTCTTTGGTAAAATTTGTTCTGTAAAAAAATTAGACAAAAGAGGTATCCATATTCTTGAAAAGTGTTCATTTTTATTGTTTCTGATCAAATTATCTACAGTTACATGATAAATACTTTATACTGTTCACAGGTTAATGACTCTGATAGAGAGTTTGTTAGTTGCAAAATTGAACTAAATATAATATAATGAAAAACAAGTTGATAAAATCGTGCATAAATTTTTAAGTATATGTTCAGTATAATTTCCTGGAAAAATATGACAGTATCTGGACAAGGAAGACTGACTTAGACATAAGACTCAAGAAGACAGAAAAATAATTTACACCATAAAAACCATAAAATAGCAATACTTTTTTTGGTAGTTCTTTAAACAACTTGACTCACTAATAATGAAGTCACTGTATATCATATAAAGATGGTACATGGAAAATATATGGCACATTTTCTTTTTGTTTTGTTTTTCATAGCATATCATATTATATCTGTAGAATGTCAGTGTACTTCACTCTACTCCCCCCCAGTATTATCATTTATCATACATTAAAATACAAATTTAAGGAATGACCATTGAATAATTCATAGAGAAAAAAGTGAAGAAGTGCAAAATTATTCAAGCATATTCAAGTATAACTTCACATCTGAATCCTTTCCTGGCATTTAAGTCACAACTCCTTACTATTAACCAGCCAGGCTGGATAATATGTATGTGAGCGGGGTTGCCCAAAGGCACCATTGCTAAACCCACCCCAGAGAAAAAGCAGCCGTTAAAATAAAACAACTTAATCCCTTGTACTTTTGTTATAGCTTTACTCTAAAAATACATCATATGGTTAATATGGTTTGCTGCTAGTTTTTTTTTTAAATTCATATTACTTTGTAGAGTTTTATATAATATTTTCATATCTGAAATAAATTTAAAAATATTTAATTTAAATTTATTGCTAAATTACAGGAAGACATTAACAGTTCCTGAAAATAATGTACATAGAAATTTTCATCAATTTCTATTTATCTAAGTAGATAATTCATTTTATATTTCATTATTTTATAAGCCTGAAAATGTGTCATCATTGTTTAACACTTACAATGCTCTCATGAATGGTTTAAGTAAGAATAAAGCTAGTGATAAGGGGTTGATTGAACTTAAACGCAGACAACAGAAATGTGAAAATATATGCTGGTTGTCTTACATGAGGGCAATAAACTTACTTGATATTTTAGGAAGGAAAAGTCATTTTTTGATGAAGATTAACATTTTTATCATCTAGAGTTATGCCACAATGGAACAGAAGACTGTCCTCAGAGTAATGAGCTACCAGTTGCTCTTTGGGTGCTCGGAGAATGTGGATAACGTAATAGTGAAGATTCTGACATTGGGAGGAAAGCTGAACTGAAACACATCAAAGGTTTATTTTAAATTCTTTTTTCATTTGTCTGTTTCTGAGACAGAGTCTCACTCTGTCACCCAGTCTGGAGTGCAGTGGTGCGATCTTGGCTCACTGCAACCTCCATCTCCTGGGCTCAAGTGGTTCTTGCCCCTCAGCCTCCCTTGAGTAGCTGGGATTACAGGCACCCACCACCACGCCTGGTTAATTTTTGTATTTTTAGTAGAGACGGGGTTTTATCGTGTTGGCCAGACTGGTGTCTTAACTCTTGACCTCAAGTGATTTGACCGCCTCGGCCTCCCAAAGTGCTGGGATTACAGGCATGAGCCACCGGGCCGGGTCTATTTTTAATTCTAAGAATATAAAGGAGAGACAACTAAAATTAGTTGCATGAAGAAAGAAAAAATTATAAAACTTAAAAAGTGTTAAATTGATCCTTATTAAGAGAACAAGCTTGTGTAAGCTCACATCAATTCTCTCGGTTTTGGAATTTTTTCAATCATCCACAATTTCATATCTTATTCCAAAGATAATAAATTTAGCACTTGGGACCGTGCCAGGCACACATAAGGTACTCAATGAATATTTGTTTAATCAGTGATTAAATCATAATCTTCTATATTGGATACCAAGCATATGTATGTATTTTTAAAATGTGTAAGGAATTCCAATACATAGCCAGGGTTCAGAATCACTTTTGAAAAATAATACTCTATCACCTTAAATTTCTCCTCTTTTGTTTACATGTTAACCATCAAAAGTACTGAGAAAACCACCTGTTCAGACACTAGAAAGTCATCCTATGTTATTAGCTGTCTTTTGAAAAAGCTTTCTGACAATTATTTAGCTGTTCTTCAAAAATGGTTCAAATAGTGTTTTAGAATTCGATTGTTAAGGGTTAAAGACTTGATCCAGTTAGCTTTGTTTATGTGTTTTTGAGGCAAAAGATTGTTGCATGATCAAGAGCTGGCCAAATTGAATGACTGCATGGTTCATATTTTCCACCAGCAATGACTTAATATTGCAAAACATGTCACAGGATTATGAACCTTTGTCTAGGAAAATTTTCTGTCTTTGTATTTTTAATCTGAAAGAATTCATCTCATTACCAATGTGTGTATGTGTGTGTGTGAGAGAGAGAGAGAGGGAGAGAGAGAGGGAAAGGGAAGAGATGAAGGCATTATTAAGATGTAAAATGTAGACCAAAAAAAACAGGTAAGTGGGTCCTAGCTACTAACTTTGGATTATATCTCTTGGCCTTATATCTCAAAGAAGCTTCCCCAGGATATTTTTCCCTGTCCTAGTTCCGTTTAAATTGTAGGGAGTTATATTTTATACATGGCCTGTAAGTATCTTTGTTATGGAAGAATATGCATCACTTTACTTTTTAAGTAATTGGAGTACCAGGTGTCTCCCTATGGAAGTTCACTTTTTAATATCAGTATGTTTATAAAGAGGAGGGGGGGCTGAGATAAAAGTTTAATTTTAAAGTTAATTAAATTAATGCAATTTACAGTGTACACTGCTTATTTATTCATGCAAAGTTTATATAGCAATGAAAAAATTGCAATGGCTATGTTTACCACTGTAGTACACAAATAAGAAAATAAAAACCAATGTATCTGCTGAGGAAGATGTCTCTTAATTCAGGAACAAGATACAATGGGTATTATGGGTGTTTTATTCGCAGGAGGGAATCCTTGTGAACATATACACTATGTCTTCTAATATATTGTATTAACACCAGATTGTCTTATATTTGGAATGGTTTGCTTTTCTTTGCTAGTTCAATATTAACTAGATGAAAAATACAGGTCATATATACTGATGAATTTTGGGAGTTTATGCTATTATCTATGTTGCAAAGAGTGTGGAATCACTTTTGGAGTAGAAGATATCATGACCTCAAAGACTGTTAATGCTATCTGTCTAAGGATCATTGGATACATTTTTGTTCTCAGAATTTTGTTATTAGAGTGTTGTAAATTTTTATGGGACTCTTGTGAATCGTGGTGTTGTCAGTTTCTTTGTTTTCCATTGACAATATACTGCAAGTATTTTCTATGTCAATTTTGGCAAGTCTCTTGTATTGTCTCATGTCCATTTCCTGGAATGTGTACTTTATAGATGAAAGAAAAATTTAGCTGCCAGTATAATATTCAGTCCTCCCAAGTAACCAGCAGGTTGAAGTATGTTGTGTTGAGAGAAATAGAAAAGCATATTTTAAAAAGTGGAATTAAAAGTTCAGAAAAAGGGATGTATAGTATGGAAGATACATCTAAATCTTTTTTCAAATATTATAACCACTTAAGTTGCACTGAGTACTAAAATAGTGAACAGCTTGCTCTCTTCTGTTAAACATTTAGATCATTTCTTCATTTTTTTTCTAAAATTTCCCTTACCTTCCATGAGATCCTGGGTATTCATAAACTAATACATGAATTCATGTCTTAGGGATACACAAATATACAAGCACTTATAATTGCAAATTAAGATTAAAGTTATTGGACTATATCAACAGAATAAGAATTCATTCTAGAATAAGATGAACAGCCCGGTTGATTCCCTAATATAGCCACCGAGAGTTGGATGGGCTCTCCAGGCAAGTGCCATGGAGAAACTTTTGGAAGGGTTAGAGAAGTTTTAAACATCCTCAGCTTTCTTGCAAATACAGTGATTCTTGAATCTATTTAAAGTTGTAAAGTAAGTTCTAGAGCCTCATGGTTTAAGTCTAATTCTAATGGTTGGGAAAGAAAGAAAAGGTTGAGAACATATATGCTAATGTATAAAATAGCCTATAAATTCATATGCTATGGAACCAGATATTTCAATGATTGAGATACAAATAATGCTTTTTAAGAAAATGATATAAACTGCATACACAAAAATCCCGTATTTTCTAATGTGGCTATTTAAAAATACTTCAGAATATGCACATTGGAATTCCAATTTATGTGTAGAGTAGTTAATGTATATGCACACGTTTTTAATTTCTTGTCATTGATAATTTTTTGGTTGGTTTAATTTGAAATATTCTGGTTGGACACAGGGCTTACTGAGGCAAATATTATCTCAGGATGCTAATTGCGATGTAATTTTTCAGTTTTAAAAGGTCAATAAGAGTTCACAGGAGGAGACACATTCCTTTAAATGTATTGGATTCAGCCACATGTGCGTTGTCACTGTTGCCTTGTGAGTGAAAGCTGTTAAAGTATTTTCTTAGTGCAGTAAGACAGTGACAAACGTAATAGGAAAGGAAAACTATGCCTAAGGAAAGTACAATACTTTTGAGATAGACTTCTAATGCACCAACGTCCTTGTTGACAACATTGTCTCATGTTTGGTATTTTCACTTTCTAAATTTCAGATTTAAAAAAGACACATTTTTAATATTCTCAAATATGGAAACAAGTGATGTCTGTGAATTTCTTTTGGAAGTAAGCATGTTTGTATTTATTATATTTCTGTTTGCTCCTGGCAGAATTCACTTAAGCAATGTTGGGAAACTTGAAATAAGATGTGGAAAGTATAGAAAAACACATTCAGGTATTTCAGAGACACACCGAGATGACGTAGCTTATAATTACCTCGAACTCTCCTGCTAATTCTCAAGGAATACAAATGAAATATCTTGCTCTATCTTTAGCACAAGAATATGTTTCCATGGTTTTGTTAAATACACACCAAATGAAGAAGCATGTGTTTAATTTTCACGTGCACAGTCCTCAACGTGGGTACATAGAGAGTAACAAATTCTTTTAGTTGTGGCATTTGCACATAATGCCAAACATAATATTATTTCCTTATAGTGTTGTTTTAAGTTACTTATAAAGGAGAGGAACTTGGTATTTTACTAGCAAAAATTGCTTAACATTTACTATTTTTTAAAATGTTATTTTTAAAAATTACAATTGTATAAGCTGATGTATAATAACATTGTAAAGGTTTTAGTTTTAAATGGTAGTTTTTGCTTTTAATTTGAGAGTGGTTGAAGGGCAGAAAACAGCATCTCGTTAAATAACTGGCTTTTCTATTGTACATCTGAGTTCATTGTTTTCTTAGTGTTTAAAGTTTTCTCTGTAAATAATTTGGCAGACTGAGTTTGTGCATCTGACCAATAATTAAAATACCTAAAAGGCATTCCAAAGCTTTCCCAAATACATTTATGGTAAAAATAGTTAAAAAAAAAATAGCGAAACTGAAAAAGAGTCAGAGTCTGGTTCTGTTTACCAAGAACTCTATCAAACATTTGCACCCAATTACACTGCAAAAAACAAGTTACTAATGCTCTGTTGTTGTTGAAGTACTCCCATGGGGGTCACTGAAAAATTTTACGTAAAAATTTCATTTAAAATTATTTTCATCTTGCGAATGGCTTAGATTTTGAAATCATTAATTCAGAAATAGAAAAACAGTCCCCACTTTATAGAAATGACTTACTTATATCATTTAAAATTAAAACTTTCCCTCCTTATATTTGGAGATAGGAGTTGAGACCCATAAAACATTGCTGGGAAAATTGTTTTTATTAAAAAATCTTTCATGAATCCATTTTTGTTTTCATTGTACTCATTTTTATCAAAATGTAAATACTTTAATCCCATTAAATTTTAAAGTCACATTCTAAACTAAAATATAAAAGTCTTACTGAATTTTGTTCAGTTATATCAAATTATTAAACACAATCACACACAGTTAAGCAGCTATTAAAAGTCTAACAAAAACAAGGTGCTGGCTTGAATTGTTCAATGTTTGGCAATAACTAAAAATACATAGCTATAATACTTATTTGAAAACAAAGTTGTTTTCCATATTTCCACCTTCATTCCTAGAGATATAAAGTTTAAGAAAAGTAGATTGTGACTGTAACACGATCTCTTATGTTATTTGTTTTAAATTTGCACAGAGGAAAATTTATTATTCTAAACAATTAAATTTAATATTCCAAACCATTAAAGTCTTTTAATGCTCTTATTTAAAAATTTTCAAAATTATATATATTGGTTAAATAGTATTTATATGTACAATCCTCCATTAATATGAGTGAATTTCCCACTGTAACTAATTATTTTCCCATTTCATAACTATG